TCACGCCCTTCTCTGAATCCACTGTGGCCGCTGCTGCACCGCCATCATTCCCCTTTACTGTGGCGTTCACCCCGAGGTACTCGTCCCTCCATGTGTTACCAGAGAAGTTGCCGGACAAAAAGCCAACCAGCCCATCCGTGATCTTAACAGCGGTGCAGGCAGCGCCAGGTGAGCGATCCTCCTCAGCGATTGAATTGGTGCACAGCTGGGAGACAATTTCGTCCACTTTCTTCCACGTCGCCAGCACATCCTTCACCCGCTTCAGCTGCTCAGTCAGAAGCACAGAGACCATACCGAGTGATGTTTCTTTCTCATCGCCCTTCTTCTTCTCGTACAGTGCAATCAACTTCTCCTCATTATTATTATCATTACCACTTTCGTACAACAGGGAGCTGGCGGCAACGTCCTCCCTTTCTCCGGATATCGGCCCAATATAAGCAATGTGCGTATTGTCCGTCAGCCAAAGACAGAGTTCACCTTTTTCATTTTCTTTATCTTTCTCCTTCGCATACACCGGCAGAGTGACAAGCATCACGTCCCTGTCCTCAATCGTCGCTGTGATGAACCCGCTCCTAACGCCCCTTCCACCATTTTTGTTGCCCCACACGCGCGAGAGTGTCCCGAGGGCCTCCGTCCACGAATCCCCCTTGTCACCGGACTCGTACACCCTGCGGCGGCCATCATCACACGCAGTCATCATGATGAGTTTGTCCTTCCCCACTCCACGACGGAGGGATCACTGCAGCCACCGTCAGACATCTCCTTCGAAAGCTTCCAATTCGTAACTTCCTTGGAGGTGTATATGATCAGCGAAACGGTCTTTCCATCCTTTTCTGCGTCATCCTTCTCCTTCTTTGTGCCCTCCACTGGAAACAAAAACGTACCGTCCTTCATCTTAATACCCGATCCACCGCCGCCAATCAGCCGCCTCAACGATTCGTGCTGTCTGCCGTTAGAAGTCCACGGGAGACGGTAATATCTCTCCAGTGTATCTTCTTGACCGCCCTCAGCA